TATTAATATTACTTTAATTAACGTTATTTTAGATAAATAAGAAGTCTTTACACGATGCATTTACCCTTCCATAACCTGAAGAATAATACCTCAAGATCGAGTCAAAGATATTATTTACAAAATATTACATTTGGCTAAAAATACAACAATATGAAGTTAAATTATGATTTAAAGTTAATGCACATTTACTTTACTTGTAAATAGAAAATAAATAAATAATTAATATGTATTAAGAAATGTATTGTTATATTTTATTAACGTGCCATCTTCAAGGTTATAAACAAAATAATAAATCACCACATTCACCATTTTGTCAAGATATATCAATTAAAATAAATATAAGAAAATTAATTCCCCTTTAAAATATATAACCGTAACATACTCCCATACAGTCCCAAGGCTTTGACAAAAGCCAGTATCTGGGACGGTTTTATAGAGGGTAATTCTCCATCTCGAATATCAGTTGTACATAAGATCATGGCACGAATGGTTCTAACAGCTGGTACAATTATAAGAACCAGACAACATTGGTTGAGAGTAGGTAACTAATGCCAGAAATACTGCATCAGCGAGGACCGACACTGTGGAAGTCAGAACCTCGATTTCAAAATAGCGGTATTTTGTCGCGGTATTTTTCTGGAACGGTCGCTACTGTAACGCGACTCATGTGGAACCGGTATTCCCATCACTATCTGGAACTGAAGAATCGCTCATCACACGTGTGATAGCGTGTTATGACGTCGGGTGGCGTGGCGTGTTGCCTAGTGTGTACGCAATACATTTAATTAAATGGAAAAACATACGCACATATTTTCACGACGTGGGGTAGCATGGCATCGCGTGGCGTGGTGTGTTAGCTAATGGGGTCTCGGCATTACAGTCCAAAAAATTAATAAATGCCAAAAAAAACGGAACTCGCTCAATCAATATAGAAACGTACTTAAAATCTTCTAAACAATATGAACTAATCTCAGACATCCCTAAAACTTATATTTAACATATAATGATGACGTATGACGTAACGGTGAACGATGGCTGAACAGTAGGGTGGATCGTAAATCCAAAAATTTTAAAATTTTTAAAACATCGACTTGGAATACCTACGAAAAGTTGATTTTGGTAATGTTGATAAAAAACAGTGTTACTACAACTTTTTAATAAAATCATATCTTCTGCCCTCTACCAGCCCTTAAAAAATGATAATTTTTTTTTGAAAAATCGATTTGGAATACCTTCCAAATATTACCTTTAGTAATGTTGATAAAAAAGTTTATTTAAAATTTTTTGAATAAATCACGTCTTCTGCCCTCTACCGGCTGTTAAAAATTGAAAAAAAAATCAAACCGAGAATACTTGCCTGTTTGATATCAGCGCATGCAAATGCGAATTTTTTGATCAATGTTCTTGCGAAAAGGAAAAAAAAAGGTACCTAAAAATGAACAGGTTTTTTTGATAGATCAGAGGGGGCTTAGAAAAATGGTTATTGGGAAAATTGACATAATGGAAACCTCAAAGCTGATAAACAAGGCCAGCACAACGGAAAAAAGATATAGAACGGAAAGAACTACAACAATCCATCCAACATGAAAGCAACATCAATTTATCAAGAAAGCGAAAGTCATCGACAGATATAGAAATTGATCATGAATTGCCTTCCACTTCCTATGACAGTATCAAGAGAAAAATCCAGAGTACAAAAATTTTTGTAAACTTCCGACCCTGGCTAAAGTTTGTGACCGCTATGGACTATCAGATAGATCTGCAGCAGCAGTGGCAACGGCAGTGCTACAGGACCTTGGAATTGTCACCAAAGAGGATAAAAAAACCGTTATAGATCTCTCGTTATAAGCTGAGAATAGCACGGGAGCAAACAAGAAACAGTTTTAAGCAAAACTCTTCGGAAACTTTGAAGGCCATTTATTTTGACGGAAGGAAAGATAAAACCTATGTTATTGAAAGTATTGAAGGCAAGTCCCACAGAAGAACTGTACTTGAAGAACATATTTCTTTAGTTCACACAGTTCCCAGTTCTGGATCGGCTCTAAGCATTTTTGTCAAAGTATTGTAAACTTCTTAGAAAGTAATGAATATGAGCTAGAAGAACTAGTAGCAGTAGGAGGTGACGGAAGCGTGGTGAATACAGGAAAAAAAATGGTGCAATTTCTCAATTAGAATTAAAATTAGGACGCCCTTTACAAAGATTGGTCTGCCAGCTTCACGCTAATAAGTTACCTCTTGGGCATCTTTTTCAAAAGCTTGACGGTCAAACCTTCCAACGGTCAAACCGTCCAAAAGCTTTTGCAGGAACTATATGAAATCAAATACAACAGTGCGAAAATATGCCAGTTGTGAACTGTACCATTATTGACTGTGATTTACCAGACGTGGATTTTCTTGAGTGAAGAAATATCTGTATGAAATTTGTGTTGCGGTTTCTACAAGTGAGTGCTCTGTAGATTTATTAACCCGAAGCCCAGGAAAGTTAAGTCATTCTCGATGGCTCACTTTGGCTAATCGCACCTTACGTCTTTATGTTAGTACCGAAAATCCAACATTACAATAATTAAAGGAACTATCCAAATTTATTGTCAAGGTTTATGCTCCTTTATGGTTTCAAATTAAATGCAACTCTTCATGTGTAAATGGTGCCAAACATGTTTTAGAAACAATAAAACGTAGCCGATACCTAGAGCAATATTTAAAAAGTGTTATAGACCCTGTCATACAAAGAAATTACTATTTTGTCCATCCTGTAAATCTTCTGATATGCATGCTACATGACACTGGTCCCCATACAAGAGGGCTTGCTCTTCGCCGCATTATAAATGCAAAAACTCAACACAATCGTTCAGGCAATATCCGACCTTTTATATGTTGATCTAATCGACTGGCAAGAAAAATGAAATAACTTGTGGGAGTAGATGATTTGAAAAATATAATTTTTAGTTTTTCTGAAACAATCATCGACATCGCTGCATTTCCCTGTCACACTCAATCAGTAGAGAGATTCATAAAACTTGTAACCGAAGCATTTTTATCAGTTGTAGGCATACAAAAGAGATATAGTTTTCTAAAGACAAAAATAGATTCACGCAAACTTATGTTATACAATTTGAGTTAAAAAAACTACAATCAATAGTGAGCCAAAATAAATGCATGAGGGAGGGTTGTAGCATTTTTTATTTCCTTTAATAAAATTGAATTTAAAAATCTATTTTTATTTAAATTTCTTAGTATTGGCGCCATCTATTTGCTAGATGCCAAAGATACCAAACTTCATTTCTTACAGTTTACTTGTCTTGTTTATTAGCGCCATCTATTCGCTATATGCCAAACTTCCTTAATTGCATTTCACTTGTCCGGATATTTAATTTTTATTAGCGCATCTATTCGCTAGATGTCAAACTTCATTTATGACAGTTCGAAACTGAGAAGAAGGTCTTTTTTTTTCTGGGAATTTGGATCTGAGGAAGACGCGTGTTTTGGCGTCCGACAAATTTTCCAGTGAAAAGCACTCTGCATCCACTTTTCGATTTCGATTGCATGGGTATCCGATTTGGAGATTTGAAAACCTTGTAAAGTATGCAATTCAGAGTATAGATCGTATTTGTTTGGTTTCTTCTTGGAATGATCACCTTATTTCCGTTTTTTACTTCGTTTATTTGAGTATTTAATTACTGGTTTGGATCGGCATATGGTTTGAATATATTTATGTAAAGCTGATTTTCAGACCAGTAAAACTACCACATGGTACTCAGTAATTACCACATGGTATGCAGTAATAATGCAGTAATTATTGTATGTTTCACCCAGTTTCATTTTGTATGGACCTATGCAGACCTTAAGACAATGTTCCTGACATTACAATCGTTCTTTTGGCTGATATCGAAGACTTCTCCTGCCATAGTCATCTGCATCCACTTCTGTTAGTCAGGAGAATACCTAACTACCTGTTTACATCATAAGAAACTATATACAGATAAGTCTCTCTCTTAAGTTTGATACACAAGGTACGCGTTTTATTTTATAATTTTTGAGACAACAGATTTAATAACCTGGTAAATTATCACTATTTATCCCACATATTGTAGTCAAAATTATTTTTATTTAACGTTATAAGTTATAATTTGATTCGTATAGTACACTCTTACTTACTATATGATATTTTATATGAAAATTATTAACACGTATTCATTTTAAAGGTTTTTGTACACGACATGTTTCGAAACATCATCGTATTGAGACATACATAAATTTCACCTGTTTTTATTAAGTAGCTTACTTAGTTCAAAGAATACAGTTACTAAATTCAATTCTATTTAAAATAACTTGCGGTTTTATTGGGATCACTGTGACTAATTGATAATACTTGTGTTCGTTTTCAATAAATGTTTAATGTAGGATAGTTATTTCTGACTTTTATTCCTGATAAACATAATAGACCCTTAATGCTGTTGATTACTTTATTTTAGCTATCTTTGATATCGTATTTTTTTTTTTGGTTTCTTACTTTACCACTCTCATAAACAAAGTAAGTGGCGCCCTTTTCACTGTCTTTGACCATACCTATTTGAATTCTTAACATCAATATTAAAATCTCTGCAGCCTATATATTATCATTTTTTATTTTAATATTTAACAACATTAGAAAGTCACTGTGAGTCAGAAGCCTTACCTACGAACCCAGCTTTCCTCTAACCCTGAGCAACGGATTCTTTTTTCATTCTATTTGGGTAACGACAGAAAAGTCGTCACAGGGTGGGATGGTACTCGCCGAGTAATTATCTCTCCGTGGTGAGTTCTGGGTTGTTTAACAATACTGAAAACATAAAATATTGTTAAACAAGCGAAAAACTGCTCTAAGTGCTCTGCTCGACACATTTTTAACTATAAGTTAAAGTGTGTAAATATTTGGGTATTATTGGCCCGCTAAAGATAACTTTTAAAGAGCTGTAAAAAAGTTAGGTTGAATAAAACCTGACAGTACTAATATGTCAAAATGATCATTCTATTTATAATAATTCACAAGTCAAAAAATTTAAAAGTTTAATTTAAAAATATAACATTATGCATCAGCCTCCAGTCGAAATAATAGTGGAAGAGTTAAAATCGGAAACCCAAAAAGAATTCGATAGTATTACAAACGAAGCAATAAACTTTTCGGAGGAAATACACAACGAGGTAAAAGATCGTATAAACGTGATTTTGGACCTCTTAAGATGCGATATAGTGGCATTGCTACAAACCGAAACAGACGAACATTTTATTGAGAAAATTGAAAGACTTTATAAAGATGTGACAAAGCATATTTATTCCACAGAAATGGACGCTTGGAGGCTTCTCAAAGACAAAGAAGTGGAACACAAAAATCAACTGAAAAAAAGCTACGAGTACGCATGCGAAATACTGAACAAAAAATCTCTCGAAAAGATATATAAAACCAGTAAAATGTTCTTGAAAAGTAACCTAAAAGAAAGAAATCGTATTATTAAAGACCTAGGCAAAAAAGCTCAAGAACTAGTTGTATCGATATGTAAAAATGCCAAGAAGGTTATATAAAAATTAATAAATTGATTAACGAAGAAAATTTATAATTGACAAAAAATTCCGGTAATAAATATTTAAACAATTGTTTATTTTTATTTATTCTTTATGAAAAAATCAATACTAAATACTCTTATAGTATATCAGATATACTGTGCTAGCAACTCTTACTCTTTCGGTCGGTATTTACATGTGTGGAAGTGAATCGCTTAAAGATCCTACTAAGTCGGAGTGAGAAAAATGCAACGGTATGCGGTTGCGACGTTGTCACATCTAGTGTAGTAAAATCACGGTCGACAGGCGTTTATTTTTAATTCTTTTTTTTTTCCGGAAAGATAACTACATAAAATCATTAGATATATTTCTGGACATCTGAAATCGAGTTATAGAATATCGTTAGTGTGGCCATTTCTTTTATAATGAAAAATACGCCAGTAATCATAGGCCAGGAAACGAACACCAAAAAAGACCGCAATTCGGAAAAAAATAGTGTCAAAGAAATTATTATTTTAAGTGGTAGGGTTGACCCTTAGAAGTAATATACCAAAAGTCCCCAGCCATAGACCTTGTGCGTTAAAGGTCCTATTCATTTTTTTGCTAGGAGCGGTAATGAAGAGTGTATGATACTTTCAAAATGCGAAAATTATTAAAAACCATGTTTTTGTTGTTCAAGGATCATATAACCTAATTTCAACAGAAAAATAAAGTTTGTTTTGCGAGAGGCATCTTATTAACCATTAACCAGGCTTATCAACTTTCTTGCAAAAAAAATGAAGCTCAAGGACTAATAGCAGTAGTAGCCACAGGAGACGCTAATACCAAAATCGTAAGCGTGGTTTGTGGTTTGCAGGCAGCTAACCAGCATCAATCTGTGACAGTCATAGGGGAGGATATAGACCTGTTGGTGTTGCTTATTGCATTAACCCCCTCTGAGAAAGAGATGCTTTTCTTTAAGCCAAGCAGGGGAAAGGTGGAGTCACGTTGGTATAATGTCGCCAACCTCCAAAAGCTGCCATATGCGAAGACCATTCTGTTACTCCATTCGTACAGCGGTTGTGATACTACCTCCGCTATTTATAACAAGAGCAAGGGAGGGGTGGTTAAAGAATTTTTAAAGGCTGAAGAGGAGGACACTAGACACTAGAGGACTGACACTAGAGACATTTACAAAGTCTTCTCTGATCCCTTAGCAACACAGGACACGTTAGGGTTAGGTTGATGCAGGAGAATTGCTTTTTTTGAGATTGTACCAGGCCCCAAAAGGAGCAGACCTGAGCCGGGTACGACACCAGGCCTTTGTTAAAGCGCTAACAAAGCCAAGGCCCGATTTTGCGGCACTTCCACCTACTAGAGGCGCTGCTCGCCAGCACTCCCTCAGAGTTTATTTGCAGGTTTGTGTCAATATATGCTTTGTTTACCTTAACATTTATTTTGTATTACTGTAATGCCCAACAACGAATTAATTATCATCTGCAGCTTCAGCACTGGCTGTATGGAAATCAGCAGCAGGAACCAACTGCTTGGAGATGGTTGAATGGGTTGGACGGCTTCTTCACCCCTGTCACAAGCCCGGATCCAGTTGCGCCAGAATCTGTTTTAAGTAATATATTTTGCGGGTGCATGACTGGTTGCGGAAGCCGTAAAGCGGGCATACCCTGATCGCTTGTGTGCAGCACTTGCCGCGCTTCGTGTACCAACGGTCCTCCAATCATCGGCATCAACGGCGACGACGATGATGATAACTTTGACGATGAACTCGAACAATAAAGTACTTGACATTGCCATATATAAACTTAAATACTTATATACTTATAAAAAAAATCTGGTTTGTGTTAATCTTCCACAATACACAGTTTTTCCACCTATTCGTATTTTCAAAGTATTATACACCCTTAACTACTGCTCACAGTGAAAAAATGAATAGAACCTTTTTTGTGAACAATTAAATTTACTTTCATTTTGTACTTTCATTTTGAACTTTTTTTCGCTAGGATGCTTAGTTTTCGAGATAATAACAAAAAACCTTTAAACTGGTCTTTTTCACCCCTACCCCCTCCCCTCACGGCTAACGCACAAGGTCTATGGCTGGGGACTTTTGGTATATTACTTCTTCTTATTTTGAAGTTCGGAACTTTGCTCGGAACTTTGATAAGATGTTTAAATGAGAATATTTCGACAGGTTTGTTTCTTTTCCGTTCAAAAAAATTAAAAACGCGTCCATTTATTTGATATTTTTTTTTTAAATCCATAGCAATTTTCAGCAATCGTGTAACTTTTCTATTTCTAAAGGTTTTCACATACTGTCTGCGAAAAAAATATAGCAGACACGTTAAGAAAAGTTTTAAAACAAACTATAATCAATTATTTCTAATGGATTTTGAGATATTGATTTTTGAATACTAATAACGCGATCACCGTCTAGCACCAACTCAGTTCAACTTATTTTTACCAAAAGTTTTTTGAGCATATTACAGTCGTTGTTTAATTTTTTCCAACTTGTGTTTAAAAATTTAGAAGTTATAACGAAAATATAACAACGATTCGTTAATAAATAAACAAATAAAGTATAACGAGATGTAATTAAACCATGAAGCTGAACGCATGATATATACCGTTCCCTAGAATTCTAAGGAGTTCTAAGTTCTAAGTACTGAATATCAATATTTCAATTTATACAGTCTTATCCCCTTCCACGTCTCTTAGCAATGTGCACAGTTACTCGATTTATTTCATACGTTTGGCAACGTTTTTACTGTTCTCTCTTTGTTCAGTACATTATAAATGCATTATACTCTTCTTATATTCGAAAATCTCGATCCAAACATAATAGTCTAAGAGCTAGCAACGTTCTCCAGAAAGTATTTTAAGAAAGCTGGCTCTTTGATAATTTATACTAAGCTCTCTGGATATATTACTAAGCTCTCTGGAACAGCATGCGGCCCATCTGGCTGCCGATACCCGTTGCGTTCACTACTGCGCATCGGAAGAAGATCCTATATATTTTTTTTTTATTTTGTCCGTTAAATTCTAGTATTGAATATAAATCGAACAAGTCTCCATAGCGCAGCGTGTATAGTTTCCGACTACGAACCGAGGATTCACGAGAGTTCGAGACCGAGTCAGGGCAAAAACTGTTTTATTTTATTTTCGTTTATATTCTGATAGTAAAGCATTAAATATTTGTTTTATTTGAATCGCCAGAATTATTTAATACTTTACTATAAAAATATAAACGAAAATAAAATAAAAGAGTTTTTGCCCTGATCCGGTCTCGAACTCTGACTCCTCGCTTGATAGGCGGAACCTCTACGCGCTGAGCAACGGAGAGTCGGTCGGTTTATATTCGATACTAGAATTTAAAGGACTAATAAAAATGTAAGATCTTTAGGATCTTCTTTCAATGAGCAGTAGGGAACGCAACGTTTACCGGCAGCCAGATTTTTCTTCGTTGACGGGCTGGAGTAAAAAAATTAGGGATGAAAAGTGGCACTAAAACGCTATGACCAATCAGAGCGCCGTCGGACCATCGTATCAATGGTTAATGGACGCATGAAAATCAAGCTTAATTCATGGGGATCTCTTTGTCACAAGATTTCTATTTCTATTAAAAAGTAAGTTTTTCAAATCCATAGTAACTAAAGATAACTTTTGAAGAGCTGTAAAAAAGATGATATTTTTAGGTTGAATAAAACCTGACAGTACTAATACGTCAAAATGAACATTCCATTTATAATAATTTATAAGCCCTAAAATTTAAAAGTTTAATTTAAAAATATAACATTATGCATCAGGCTCCAGTCGAAATAATAGTGGAAGAGTTAAAATCGGAAACCCAAAAAGAATTCGATCGTATTACAAACGAAGCAATAAACTTTTCGGAGGAAATACACAACGAGGTAAAAGATCGTATTAACGTGATTTTGGACCTCTTAAAATGCGACATCGTGGCATTGCTACAAACCGAAATAGACGAACATTCTATTGAGAAAATTGAAATATTTTATAAAGATGTCACAAAGAACATTTATTCCACAGAAATGGACGCTTGGAAATTTCTCAAAGACAAAGAAGTGGAACATAAAAATCAACTGAAAAAAAGCTACGAGTACGCATGCGAAATATTGAACAAAAAAGACAAATCCCTCGAAAAGATATATAAAACCAGTAAAACGTTCTTGAAAAGTAACCTAAAAGAAAGAAATCGTATTATTAAAGACCTAAGCAAAAAAGCTCAAGAACTAGTTGTATCGATATGTAAAAATGCCAAGAAGGTTATATAAAAATTAATAAATTGATAGAAAATTTATAATTGACAAAAAATTCCGGTAATAAATATTTAAACAATTGTTTATTTTTATTTGTTCTTTACGAAAATCAATACTCACAACCAAACTACTCTTATAGTAAATGGTGGCGCCTCTCATACGTCGCGGAAGCTCCAAGGAGAACGGTAGTTTATATCGAAATGAAATTTTGGCAGCAGAATATGTAGGTTAACTGAAAGCATTTTATAAAAATATATAGAATTATACATGGTGTCCCCAAAAAAAGTTACGCTTCAAAGTTGTGTTTTTTCTAATGGAACACCCTATATATTAATTGATTTTCGGATTCTATGAAAAAAATAAAGGTGAGTTTTATTAAAGAAGCATATACAACTTAACAAGTATAGCTAGAGACGTGAGAAATATAAAATAAGAGACGCCCCTCGTTGCGCAGTGGACAGCACACAAATTTGCTTTAATCAGATTTGTCGTACCGTAACTGCATCTCTCTTCCGCCGAATGCGTTCTCTCTCTATCGTGTGCGCGACAATGTTAAAGTTGGACTAACTAGGTAGCTATGTTGAAGTAACTTCACACATAGAGCCACAATGAATCTAGGAAGATCTTTGTTTGAGGGGTAGGCAACCTTAATAGTATTTTGAAGAGACATTAATTCTCCATTGAATATCGGAATAATATACTGGGTGTTTCATTTAAAATAAAAGAGTAACATGCTTTTAAAGGTGACCGATGTTCAATATTAATTTTGTCTCACCCTGTATAACTTTTTGGATCAAGTTTTAATTTGATTTAAAATACAATAGGTAATTTAACTACATATTAGGCTATACCGAGTAAATTCCAATTTAGGTAGTTTATATTGCAATTTAAAAATTGTTCTTTATTTCTAGAAAATGTTAAATATGTCAAAAACCTTACATTTTAGTCATATACTTCTCTTATAAAACTTACCTTTATTTTTCTCCCAGAATCCGAAAATCAATTAATATATGGGATATTCCATTACAAAAAACATAACTTTGATATGTAACTTTTTTGGGGACACCCTGTATATAACTCTCTATATTTTTAAAAAGTGCTCTGAATTAACCTACATATACTCACAAAATTGCATTTCAATACAAGCTGTCGTTCTCCTCGGAGCCTCCACGGCGCGGCGTATGAGATGAGCCACCCTGTATATCAGATATACCGTGCTGGCAACTCTTAATTTTGGGTCGGTATTTACATGTGTGGAAGTATCCATTCCCATCTAGTGTAGTAAAATCACGGTCGAAAGGCGTTTATTTTTAATTCTTTTTCCCGATAGATAACTAAAGTAAACGCCACGAATGTTTGGGAGTGATTCATCGCTTTATGAAGTTAGAATCGACACAGGCGCGCTATCATTTTTACATTAAAAACGTAAATTTTTACCGCAGACGAAGGTTGTCAAAGGCGCGGTTTAATCATCTGCCTGCGCTCCTTCTACTTATTCTAAAATGTTAGCGTGATTGACAAAGACGATACTATATCTCGTTCCTTTGATTAATTCGTTTTTGTGCGTCAGTCAATTGGTGTGCTTGCAGTGCGACTAATGGGGCATTCCAGTTTATATTTATAACCAAATATATGTTTTGACAAGACTTTGACAGTTAAAACAACAAATTACAACAGATTATATATTGATTATTATATGACTTGAAACACCACGGCACTGGAATTAAGTTTTATGTGACCTTGAACAGATTAGTTCACATGGTAGCGACCGATGAATGATCACTCCCAAACATTCGTGGCGTTTACTATACATAAAGTTATTAGATATATTTCTGGACATCTGAAATAGAGTTATATAATAGCCTTAGTGTAACCACTTCTTTTGTAATGAAAAAACGCCAGTAATCGTGGTAAGTTGAAAACTTATCATCTTAACAACTTTCTTAACATAACACGCGATAACTCAAAAACTACTTTAGATATTGAAACTTTCTTTTTTTTATTTTGAAGTTCGGACCTTTGATAAGATATTTAAATGAGAACATTTCGACAGGTATGTTTCTTTTCCGTTCAAAAAATTTAAAAACGCGTTCATTTATTTTATAATTTTTTTTTAAATCCATAGCAATTTTCAGCAATCGTGTAACTTTTTTATTTGTAAAGGTTTTCACATACTTCACATACTGTCTGCGAAGAAAATATAGCAGAACCGTTAAGAAAGATTTTAAGATAAACTATATAATCAATTATTTCTAATGGATTTCGAGATATTGATTTTTGAACACTAATAGCGCGACAACTGTCTAGCACCAACTCAGTTCAACTTATTTTTACCAAAAGTGCTAAACGTTTGAGCATATTACAGTCATTGTTAAATTTCCAACTTGCGTTTAAAAATTTACAAGTTATAAGAAAAATATACCAACGATTCGTTAATAAATAAACAAATAAAGTATAACGAGATGTAATTAAACCGTGAAGCTGAACGAATGATGTACGTACACCCTTCCGTAGAATTCTAAGCAGTTCTAAGTACTGAATGTCAATATTTCAATTTATGCAGTCTTATCCCCTTCCACGTCTCTTACCAATGTGCACAGTTACTCGGTTTATTTCATACGTATGGCAACGTTTTTACTGTTCTCTCTTTGTTCAGTACATTATAAATGCATTATACTCTTCTCAAGGTGCATTCTCACGACTCGTATGCTTGTTGTACATGTGTAAACATTTGTTATTGGAATATACTCGCCATGTCGTGAGAACGGTTTCCTTGGTCACTCGTCGCGTATTGGCTCCAGTATTGTATTTACTCCAGTATTGGCGTACTTGCCAAGTAGATGAGTCGTGAGAGTGCGCCTTTACATTGTCAGCAGGAGTATACCGGGTGGTACATCGTCGTTGGAAATATAGGAAATCGCATGCAAATTGTGAACCGTCTAGATATTGGCTCCCCTGTTAGTTTTACAGCGAAATTTTAAATAGGTTTTTTAAAGGTCTGCGTATGCTGAATACACATGCCAAATTTGAAAAATTTTGGAAAAGCCGATTTTAAGTAATTTAAGAAGAACTGCCATTTATTTTAAAATTAAAACTAAACAGGTAACAATGCAAAACCAGCCAAATGTCAATATACTTTAAGTTGTCAACTTATGATTTTATCATTGTCAAATGTAATTTGTTGTGCTATCTACACTACTACGTTATAGTACCCATGGATAAAGGAAATAAATTTAGATTGGAATGCCCATCAAAATTATGGGTCGCGAAATTATTTTGGGTCGCGACCGTTGTACGCGAGCTGACGCTGCTATAGCGATTGCTAAGAACAACCGCAAACAAATACAGAAATAATTTTCTGTTGTCAAAGTCAAAATCATCAAAAATTATTAATTCTTTCAAAATTGAATCCGCTCTCATTGAAAAAATACCGAAAAATGTTTAAAGCCTCCATTTTCAAAGTAATTATTGCTATCTTGTGAGTTTAATTTAAGTTTTATTTACTCAAACCCGTGATAATTCTGAAAAAGTGGCATTGAAAACTTAAAAAGCTGTGCTATGAACTGTGAACTACAAAAACCATCGTGGTTTCCAATGTTTCATAGGTATTTCATATATGTCCTTATATAAAATAAAGTTTCTTATGTATGCAACACACTGTATTTTATTTATAAAATTTAAAGAAAATAATAAATTTGAATAAACAATATTTGGCGATATAATTCCGGAAAAAGCCGAACCGCTCCGAAATTTTCAAAAGCTTCGGGTCGCGACCGTTTCAAGAATAGCGCCAAATGGTGTTTACATTGTCCTTATGGGCACTTTCCAATCTAAACATGTTTCATTTATCTATGATAGTACCTACGCTCAGTGTTCCCAAAATTTATTTTTGTAAGTTAAAACTGATTCGAATGAGGCAAAAGCCTAAGTTTAGAATTTTTTTTATTTTATAAAATACAATTTGACACTGACAAGATTATAGCATGACAACTTAATGTACGTTGGCATTTGCCTGGTTTTGCGTTTTACATGTTCAGTTTTAACTTAAAAAAATAATTCAAATTTGGCATGTATATTCAGCATACGCAGACCTTTAAAAACCCTGTGTACAAATTCATTGCAAAATTAACAGAGGAGCCAATATCTGGACAGTTCAAAATTTGCATGCGATTTCCTATGCTTCCAACGACGATGCACCACCCGGTATAGTTTAAAGCAATTAATTTATAGAGAAGGTACAAAAACATTTATTTCCTAGAAACGGATGCCTGATCTCTTCTCAAAAACAAAGAAATTTAAAATAAAAAGCAAATAAAGACTATTACGCGTGCAAAATTCTAAACACAAAAAAGACAAAGAGTTGGAGAAGATGTTCAGAGCCAGTAAAACATTCCTAGAGAGTTTTTGGAAGAAAGAAACCGCTAAGTCGTTAAGGATCTAGCAAAAAGATTTTGAGAACTGGTTCTCTCACTCTGTAAGTAGGTTAAGTAGGTTCAATAAAAATAGCTAAACTTTTAAGAAAGTATGTACTTAAAAAAATATCTTTTTAATTTAACTAAAAATCTTAATATATTTAAAATACAATAATAAATATTAAATTTAGTGAATTTAAATACAAAGTGTCATTATTTAATTAAAATAATTTGCATGCCTTATATTTTACTAAAAATTATGAGGTTATCATTGTAAGAGTCAAATTTCCTCGCTACGACCTCTTTGGGCTAGCTCATAAATTATCGCAAATAACTATTATTTGTGCATCATGTTTACTATAATTTTATTGTTAAATATTATTTTATTTAAATTTTACGATTATGCAACCCGATATACACCGCGATATTATACAGCTACAGCTACACAATATTGTCACTGGATGCGGCCACCAGAGTAGGCTTTTTATCGACCTCTCTTTATCTTTGATATCATCTGTCAGTCAAACTGTCAGATCAAATCAGATGTTTTTGGATTTATTTATCCTTTGTTTTGGTTATTGAAATTTTATAATTACCAGATAAAATTTCGTAGTTAAATTGTTTATTTTTTATGTAGATCACAGTGTGCAATTCGTTCATTTAATTGTGGGAATTTCTGAGTTAAGTTCGTTCATTGACCGGATACGCAATATGGCAGTGGAAAATATTCTAGAACATCGTTTTTTATTTATGCCTTTTTGTGAGTTGGACTAGAGTAGATATATGGTTCTCTATCTATATCCTGGAGGGAGATTTCCAGTTGAAATCTGATTTTGCGAAGGAAATCCAATCCTTGCATCACTTCTTGTGTATCTACCTACCTTTTTGCGATGCTTCGTGATTTTTTCAAAAAATCCTCAATGTGCATTGTTTAATTTTAATTGCTCGTTGGATTGCGAATGAGGGTTATCTCGTGTAGTAGTTAGATAAGATAGAACCTTGCGGTTTCCACAAATCTGAGATACTTTTTTTGTAAATTTAAAGATACCAAAAAACCTAAGATATTATGGCCTTCTTAGTTTCCATGATATAGAAGGCTTCGTATCTCAGTAATCTCACTACTTATCAAAAATGTATAACAACTATTAGATGGACACTTATAGAATGTTTTACAAAGAATCTAGTAACGTAGTTGGTTTTCCCTTAATGCCTTTAAGAAAATAAATGATAGGGCTATTATAAAATACGATACCTTCTATGTTTGGCAAGACGTAAATTTTCCTTTTTTGTCAAGCGGTCAAGCCTTTAAAAACAATAATACAGGAAGAAAAATCATAATTTTCATATTAAACATCTAAAATTTTACACTATTGTCCAAATATTTTAAAAACTTTAAAAAATATATTGAGATAAAACCTTTTAAAATCATGATATTGTCGTTTTTCGGAATACCCTATATCACCCTGTATAAAACATATCTACTAGTATTTATCCAAAGTTACAATTAGTATTTTATTCATAATAACCACACTATACTACAAAAGCAACTTCGAATCAGAAAACAGGAATTGTTTTTCTTTATCAAACATAATGAAAATTCTGCAAACTTCTACAAGAAAATACCGCAGAAACCGCACCGAAATAATTCCGTATAACCGACGAAATAACTCCATATCTTGTACAAATAGAAGCGGTCTAGAAAGCGACCGTTAAATTCTTTAAGAGAGCTTTCATAAACCTCTTAAGTTGGCTCATTTCATGTTTATTTCAGAACGGATACCTTAGAGTGCCCCTCCAGCAATGTAATAACCACACGCTACAAATGCAACGTTGGTGGAAAATGGATCGACTGCACTCGGAGACACTGTTGCAAGGACTACACGTTCATCGGTGGAAGGTAAAGTTATCAAACTATAATTTAATTATATTATTCTTATATAGAGCTCGTAACTAGAGATAACTATTTAAAAAAAACATATTGATACAGTGTATCTATATTTTAGTACACATGAATATTAGCTTTGGATACAACAGAACGATGTGTCTTCTTCCAAATTTCATTATTTTTTTAATTCAATTTATTCTTATTAATATACCAGGTGCATCTCAAAAGTGGCTCACTCCGCAAACTTTTTTATTTTTTCAGATAAAAAACGAGGTATATGACATAAATTAGAATTGATTGACGTATTCAATTATTTTCAGTCACTTTGTCACTTTCTGTTTTACCAGAAATGACTACAACTTTTGATTTTTAAATGGCACCCTCGGTATTTTTACTTTATTCGATAAAAATGGACACTGAATAGAATGAAAAATAATAATATAATTTTTTCACATATTTGCTTAAAAACATCGTCTTTTAAATTCCAGTCTAGAATTCCATGGCTGTATTAGGTTATTTTAAATTAGGTTGCTGGGGTTTGGGGTAATGTTTGATCACTCACTCGGAGGCCTTGGGCCCATTGCAAAACCCGTGTATTATTATACGCAACCTTCCTCTTATTCTTTCTTTGCGTTAAAGCACTTCCAGCTCTTTGCAAAGTTCCCGATGTCGCTGATGTTGGCTGCTCCCTCTTGTCCCTCCAAAAAACCTTGTCCTTAAAGTTTTAAAGCGTTGGCATTCCAGTGCCGGACAGTGGCACAGCAGGTGGTGTATGGTTTCTTCTTCCTCTCCGCGCAGTAGTCTTCGTCGGAAATGTTCCATCTCACAAGGATTACCCCGTGGGGCAGTTACCAAAATTTTTGTGGTCTAGTAGTTGTTTTGTCTTTTTGCTATCTGCTACTGGGCGCAGTCTTCGTGCTGCAGCGCAGTAGCGCATGGCTGTGTTAAAAACACTAATTTTTAATCAAGGAGCCTTGGAAAAATAGTTTTGATCGTCTAATGTTAGTGACTTGCCGGTTAAAAGATGCCCAAATAGTATTTTTAATCATATCTCAATTTTTTCAAATGGAACGAGGGTAAAGTTTGTTAATTTAGGTTTTTTCACATAAAAATAAGCTTTATTTTTCATATCAACATAGGTCCGATTCTGCTTTGTTTTGTAGCTACAGGGTGTTAAAGTCTTAATCATCTTTCGATTTATTATAATTTTCTTCCAAGTACTTTTAGTGATTCAAATGAAATTTCGAGGGTAAAAGTTATTATAACTTCTTATAAGTGCATTTTAATAATAAAAAAGTGTCAATAAATTCATCAGGGACGCGCATAAGGGTTATCACTGGAATATTTTTCAAAAAAAAACATGTGCGCCACTGACTTTTTTCTTTTGATATCAAAATTATAGGGGCTGTTGACTGTATTTTACTTAATTTATTATTACTATTAGTTATTATTACTATTAGTCGAACCTACACAATTTCAAATAAAAAAAATATTGGTATTTAAAATAATTATTACAAAAAACCTAATTTTAAAAATTGTTAACATCTTGTAACTCTAAAACTATGCATTTCCATACCCATATTTATAGGATTTATAGGAACCCATGTTTTTCATATTTTTTGCTGAGGAATCAATGAGTACTTATTTAAAACTTTCACAAATTAATAATGTTATTTTTTTAAAAGTTTGCAATTAGATTTGGATCAAGGCAAATTAATAAAATGTTTATTGAAAGTTCCAAAATATATTAATTTATAAAATGTAATTTATTATTATTTTTTATTACAATTTCTTCTTATTTTTAGATGTATATCGAAAAAGGAAGATCCTTGTAAAATGGGGTTGTGCGAACAAAATTGTGCCATATACTTGCAACGCGTTATATGTACCTGTTTTGAAGGGTACAAATTCAATGCAGAAAATCAAAAGAAAGGCATCAAGCCAGTATGTGTAGGTAAGTTTAACGTATTTATTGTATAATTACTTTTTTGATAATATGATTATTTACACAATGTGAGAATCTTAAAAGTAGCAATTGAAAATATCTCAGTAACAGAAAAATCTCAAATATACAGTATGTCCCCGGATTGTCTTTACTAGAAGAATTTTTTTTTAAACAAAAAAATTAAGTTTTTGAGAAAAATGCATTCTTTGTAATACAATTTTGCTTGATTTTTTGCTTTCATACTTTTTTTTAATTTTCTCTAAAACGGCATGGAAATTTGGGAAAGTATAAAGGGGATTAACCATTTTAGAACAAGCAAAAATTTTTATGAAGAATGCATTTTTCTCAAAATATCAATAATAAAAAAGTTTTTCCTCTTGTAAAGACACTCCATGGACATACTGTATACTGGATGTTTTATTGTTTTTTTATAAGTGATTTCAGGTAAAAAGAAAAGTTCGTCCAATATTTTTTAACTAAGAGTTAATTATGATTATTACTTTACAAACTATCACCGTATGAACAGAACAATATTTATGTGTTAAATTAATAAAATTATACTAATATGTTATTAATGCCCATTAAACATAATACTATTTAAATTAAGTCACTGGAAGCTGTCAAATAATTTATGCAGTTTGGAAGTGTATTTATCCTATAAATATTCAGTTCGATTGTTATTTAAGAGCATAATTTAGACAGTTTAAACTTCCTGTCGACACAGTTAATTTACATTCTCCATAACTTCGGCGGAATAAAGAAATCATTAATTACCGACTTATCTACCTCAGAGTAAACAACGCCATAAAAACAAAGCTTTATTTTGTTCCGTAAAACCACCATTAACCGGAAGTTGTAAAAAGAACGACGGCGATTACTTGTACTTTTAATTGCTCGTAATAAATGTCAATTGAATCTTTATTTACTTTGAATATTTTTACAAAGTAATTTTGTTATTCCAGTTGTTGGGGTCTTGATGAAATGAAAATTTAATTTAGACATATTATATTTAGAAAAGTAATTTTATCAATGTTAATTTAATTTAAAAAAACAGAAATATTTTTCTTTCGATTCGCAAAAATCTGAATATGTATACTTACACATACCGTGCTGACAACTCTTACTTTTGTGTCGGTATTTACAAGTAATAAATAAGTAAATCGGATAGGGATCTTCAAATAGTCGGTGTGAGAGAAATGCGACGGTGGACTGTTGGGGCATTGCCACATTTCTCCGGTATGCCGTTCCCTATCAAGTAAAGTAAAATCACGATCGCAAACCGCTTACTATTAAAATACTTTTTTTCGAAAAGATAACTAGATAAAATAATTATATATGTTTCTGAGCATCTGAAATAAAAATTATAAGGATATCGTTAGGGTGTCCATATTTTTTATAACGATAAAACATTAGTGATCGCATTAATTGAAAAACTCAACTTTCTAACACATAACACGCGATAACTCAAGAACCACTTTAGGTATTAAAACTTTCTTTTTATTTTGAAGTTCGAATCTTTTACAAGATGTTTAAATGAGAAAAATTCGATAGGCTTGTTTTTTTTTCATTCAAAAATTTAAAAAAAAAACGTCCATTTACTTTTAGTGCATTGCATTTTTCAGCAATCATGTAACTTTTTTATTTGTAAAGATTTTTACATACTGTTTGCGAAGAAAATATTATAGTAGAAATATTAAGAAAGTTTTTGAAAAAAACTACAATCAATTATTTCTAATGGATTTCGAGATATCGATTTTTGAATTCTATAGATACTTGAGTTCTAATAGCGCGACCACTGTCGAACACCAACTCAATTCCACTTGTTTTTACCAAAAGTGCAAGTGTCTCTAACTTGCACTTAAAAATTTACCAGCTATAGGGAAAATTAGAACGACTCGTTAATAAATAAATAAATAAAGTATCACGGGACGTAATTAAATCGTAAAGCTGAACGCATGATATACATCCTTCTCTAGAATTTTAAGTACTGATTGGGTCCGGTGTTGGGTCGAGCAGACCGGTCGTCGACCAGTCGACAGCGACGAATCTGCTGTATCCCCCTTCCACGTCTCTTAGCAATGTGCACAGATTCTCGGTTTATTTCATATGTTTGGCAACGTTTTTTACTGTTCTCTCTTTGTTCAGTACATTATAAAAATAATTGCATATCGATATATCGAGCATATTTGTATATTTAGAATTAAATATTTAGTAGGTGGGTTTTGTTCACACACAAACCTTAACAAATAAATAAAGTAAGATAAGAAATTAAAACTAAAAGAATTTTGGACTTCCATTGTCTATATTTATTTTTGTTTACACGTTTCGGTCAGTATCAAAGTATCACTGGCCGTTATCAAGTATGAACATATAACTTGTTACTTCTTGACATATAAAATTATACTTCTGAACGAAAAGTTGTGTAAGCAAAAATAAAGACAACGAAAGTGTGAAATTCTTTTAGTTTTAATACTGAATTATTGTCGACCATATTCAAGATAAGAAATGTTTATTTATATTTAATTAGAAGTCCCTGCAGTGCGGATTAGTAGTATTTTATGCCTTCTGCAATCTGATTACGCTATTATCATATGAAAATGATAATATTTGATGCAATAATTGATATTTCCTACTTTAACAGAAGTCCAATAATAACTTAGTTACAACAAGGTTTATCACAAAATAAAGTGGCAGAAATTGTCGGCGTTAATCAAAGTTATGTTTCAAGAATTAATAAAAAGTTTCGCATAACCAATGATATTCAGGAACGAACCAATTAAGTACAAGAAGCGCTTTATGTAGACAGCTTGTGCGACTTGATGGAATTATTGTATCAAAACAAACTGTATCACGTCGATTAAGGTTTGTTAATGTACAGAATAGCAAAAACGCACACGGTTATAATGGGGACAGGAAATGATTGAACAAAACCAAAAATGGGAAAATGTCATGTTTTCAATTGAAATATGAATAGTCCTAGAAGGGGATTCTCGATAAAGCCTCGAATCGAATTCTCGGTTCCCGACGAGAGCTCCAGGACGACAGGCCAGATTAGCTACAGCTCAGACCCGCGTCCTATTTCAAGGAGGTAGTGTAATGATTTGGGCTGTGATAATGAGAGGTGCCCGAACGCCATTAGTTGTTACTGACGGAACAATAACAGGACAAGTTTACATTCAAGAGGTATTAGACCCAATTGTGTGTTTATTCCAAGCAGCAGTTGGACCAAATTATGTCTTCATCATCTGTTAATTCTGCTAATTAACCAGATATGAAGATCATAAAACATGCTTGGGACATCTTAAAATCGCGAGTAAAGAAGCGAAATAACCCATCCTTAACTTTACGAGAATTAAAAATTGTAACGATCGAAGAATAGGAACATATTGCACAGGCCTACATACATAACTTGATAAGTAGCATGAAAAAAAGGCATGAGAGAATGCATTAATGCCCCAAGAGGAAATACAGACCATTCATTTCAAAACTTTTCTTCATTCTTTGTTGTTAAACTTTCAATTTAATTTTAATTCTTCTTCTTCTTGTAGTACCATCTTCTAATGAAGGTTGGCAACAATCGCGGCGAAACACTGTCTGTCCTGTGCAGCTCGAAACAGTTCGTATGAGTTCAGTCCAGTCCAGTCTCGTAAGTTTTTCAACCAAGAGTGCTTGCGTCTCCCAAGTCCTCTTCTGCCTTCTACCTTTCCCTCCATAATCAACTTCAGAAGCTTTGCTCTGCTACTGCGCATGACATGGCCCAGGTATGCTGTCTTTCGTTTTTTATATTTACAATTAATTCCCTGTCCCTGTTAAGCCCCCCAAGAACCTCTTCATTGCGTACATGATCCGTCCAGGGTATTTTCAAGAGTCTTCTGTAGATCCACATTTCAAAAGCTTCCAACCGTCTCATGGGGTTTATTTTAATAGTCCATGTCTCACAGCCGTATAAGAGGATTGAGTCTGCATAACAATGGACAAAACGCAAACGTATGTTAATGTTGAGTGATCGGTTACATAATAGGTTTCTCATTTTGTTAAACATTGACCTAGCTTGTTCTATACGCGATGTAACTTCTAAGTCGGGATCAAGGTCTGATGTTTGCCAGGATCCCAGGTATTTGAACTTATTTACCGTCTCTACGCATTGTCCGTATACTCGTATGTTGGGTGGTGGAATATTTCTCCTACTAACTACCATTATCTTGGTGTGATAATCGCGGTGTCGTCTGCATACCTAAGGTTGTTAATTGGGACGCCATTTATTTTTATGCCAATGCCTTTATCTTGTAGGGCCTTATCGAATATATATCCGGAGTATATATTAAACAACAAGGGAGACAGTACACATCCCTGACGAACTCCACGTTGTACTGGTATTTCGTCTGTTTCGTCTTGCCCTAACCTTATGTATGCTGTCTGATTCCAATATAGTGTTTTTAAGAATTGGATATCGTTCTTGTCTAGACCTTTTTCTTGCAAGATGTTAAACAGCACTGTGTGTTCTACTTTATCAAAGGCCTTTTCGTAGTCGATGAAACAAATGTATACGTCTTTTTGTTGGTCTCTACATTTCTGTAAGAGAACAGACAGGCCAAACATTGCTTCCCTGGTCCCCATTCCTTCTCGAAAGCCAAATTGGCCGTCATCTAAATCAATTTCACATTTTTTGAATATTCTGTGTTGAATTATTTTAAGAAGTATTTTTTAAACATGGCTCATTAGGCTTATTTATTAATCTGAAGTGTTCGCACCTTTTTGCGGTGTAATTTTTTGGGATAGGGACAAAAATTGATTTCAGCCAATCATGTGGGATCTCAATGCTTTTGTAGATTTGGTTTAACAGTCTAGTTAGCGTAGGGATGTTTACTTCATTTATCAGTTTGAGCATTTTAACATGTACTTCATCCGGGCCGCAGGCTTCCTACTTTACTATTTCTTATAGCACTCTCCACTTCTGAAGTTAAGATATCAGGTGCCTCTTCAAATCCATTTTTGATGTTGAAAACTAT